TTCTCCCGACAGTTTTTTTTAACTTCCCTGGAACTTCGAGGATGCTTCCAGAGTTTTATTGCGGTAACATTAGCTTCAGGAAAACTGCAGGAAGTTTAAAAAAGTTCTATTGGGTAAGTTCAAAGATCTGTAAGAGTAAGTACCGTTAAATTAAAGACAGTTTCATTAACTTCTGTTAAAATTTGAGAACCCGAGAATGCCAGGAAAGCCCAGAGAATTCAAATTAACTTAAGGAAACATCAGAAATATTCTGGAAGAACTTCAGGGAAATTTAATGCTTTTTAGGACAGTTCCATTTGGTTCGGGAGAATAGAGAGAACTTTAGCGAAGCTCTGTGAACATCAGAGCAGATTAATTAATTTCTATAAAAATCCTCAAACGTTGAAAGAGTTCCGAGAAGCTCGGGAAATTTCCGAAACTTTTCGTAAAGTTCCGAGAGGTTCATGAAAATTTTGGAAACGTGAGTAACATGATTATTAAAAAAAATGTGAGGACATTTTAAGGGATGGCCAGGGGACGTTTTTACTACACTCGTTTCGTTGTCGTGTGCGACAGTCCGTTTGTTTTCGTAGACTTATGCTCTAACGTCGTCTCCCTCACACATCACAAACGGTAGAATAACATTCGAGCAAAAAGAAAATCTTCAAATAACTATCATATGACATGTGTTATTTCCTTCTAATTCCTCAATTTGGTGTAAATTAAACCATTTCTGATCAGAAATGTTATTACTAAGACATCATTGCTTGCTATTTTCAGAATTCAAACAAAGCACAACATCAGCAGCTCTTATTATTAGAAAAAAACTAAAATACATACATTCGTGACGGTCTTCTGCGACACTGTCGTATGACAGAGCCTGTCATATGACATTTTAATTTGGTATTGTACTATGATAGCTTGTTATTCAAGTGTCGGAGGCAAAGGCAGTTGATTATCACAGAAAATGTGTCGACTACCGTGACCACTTACAAGACTGGGGATGGCCCGTGATTTTTTAATGACAGTTTCGAAAACTTTTTAAAATTTTAAAATATAAACGGGAAGATCAGAAAACTACAATTCTGATTTTCCATTAATTTCAAAAAAATTGTGAGACTATTTCAGACGTTCCAAAATCTTCAAGAAATTTCAGAAACCTTCAAAGTCTTCAATCTCTAACGATTCTCCGGTAGTTTCGTTGTAAGCAGGGTAGCTTCGAGTACTTCGAGGACGATCAGAGAACTTCAAAACTGCCCCATTAACTTCAGGAAAATTGCAAAAACTTTCAAGGAGTTCCGAGGAAACATGGAATATTCCAGGGGCCTCCAAGGATGTTTTATGAATATCAGGAAAATGGCTAGATCATTAGAACAGGTCAGAAACTTCATGGAATCTTGTTCTAACATCCCCAAGAAATCGTTTTCTTCCGGATTTAATTCCCACTTCTCCTTGAAGTTTCTTTCGATTGTTTCGTAAGCTTTCTGGCTTCCGAAATTCTCGGGAAGTTTCTTCCAATCTTCCTTAGGAAGTTTCTTCCATCGTCTCCAGAAAGTTCTCGAGGAAATTCAATTAAACTTCTACCGAATGTATCTTAAGAATTCTCCCTGAAGTTTCATTCGTCTTCCTCTGGAAGTTTCTCCAGAAGTCATTATCCGTAGGTCTTTTACCGACTTTTATTGGGAAGTTTTTCTGAGCTTCTTCTGGCTTCCCATGGAAATGGCTATTCCGGAATTCGATAGCGTCTTTTCACCAGAAGTATCGCAATTTTTGTTTTGGAAGTTTCCCGGATGTTTTCCCGACTTTTCTTACAATTTTCTTCAAACTTCCTCCAGAAGACCTTGTTCATTCTTTCCCTGGAAGCTTTTTCGGCTTCCTCCAGAAGCTATTTTAAACATTGCCAGGAAATTTCTTCCGATTTTTTCTCGAAAGCAAATGTTTTGTTCTTAGTCCAAAAGTTTGAATTTTAGCCTACAAATACCGATAAATACCGTTTTTTTTTAAATCATTTGGCAACGCTGACTCGGGGATCATTTCAGACTTAAGGGGCCATAACTACGTAGACCGTTTGTGGAAGGTTTACTGACTTCCCCCGGAAAGCTCTTCTGACTTCGCCTGTAACATTCTTTCGACTTTCCCAGAAGTCATTGAGTCTTTCCATGTTTTGTCAGAGCTCCCCCCGAAAATTACCCGATTTTTTCCCGGTGCGAATCTTAAAAAAAATCCTATTATGTACTAATGTTCAGCAAAAAACGAAAGTGTTCAATAAATTTGGGATTTAAAAAATATCCAAGATTGGTCTCCACATTTGTTTATAGTCTTAAACTACGACATATTTTCGAGATTTGTGAATTTCTTCGATCTGGGATTGGAAAATATTCCAACGGGAAGATAAGAGAACTTCAATGCTGATGTTTCATTAATTTCAAGTAAATTATTAGAGTAAATCTTCAAGGAATTTCAGAAACCTTCGATGAAGATTTGAGATTTATCGGTAGTTTCGTTGCAAGCAGGGTAGCTCCGAGTACTTCGAAGAGGAACAGAGAACTTAAAAAAGCCACATTAACTTCAGGAAAATTGCAAGAACTTTCAAGGAGTTCTGAGGAAACATGGAATATTCCAGGTGTCTCCAGGGATTTTTTTTTTATGAATATCATGAAAATTGCTAGATCATTAGAACACGTCAGAAACTTCATGGAATCTTGTGCTAACATCCCCAAGAAATCGCTTTCTTCCGGATTTTTTCTCAACTTCTCAATGAAGCTTATTTTGACTGTTCCGTAAGCCCTCTGGCTTCCGACATTCTCGAGAAGTTTCTTCCAATCTTCCTTAGGCAGTTTCTTCCATCGTCTCCAGAAAGTTCTCCGAAGATTTGTAAATTTGTTCGATCTGGGAAGATTTGTGAATTTTTTCGATCTGGGATTGGAAAATATTCCAAATGTGGGATCTTGAAAACAAAATCAAGATCCTAGACTTTACCCTGCAACATTTTTCAAGGCTTTAAACCTTGAAAGAACTTTCAAGTTAAATTTTGAAGATTTTTTTTATGGAACTCCACCAAGAAAACCTGGACATTTGGAGTGTATTTTAAAGGAATTTAAGTGTTAATTCGAAGGAAATGCTGAGGAGGATTCCAAAAAAATACTGGGAAAATTCTAAGGGAGCTCTGACCAGAATTACAAACTACAAAAAATTCTGAGATCCAAGGTAATTCCTAGGTCATTATCAAGCGAATTGTATTTGAATTTTAAGGAAAATTCAAAAGAAATATAACTTACCTTACCAATCAGGCTCAGGTCTTGTCGTCCTCTGCTGTCCGAAGAAGTCGTCTCCACTCTACTCGATCCATGGCCACACTTCGCCAACCTCGTAGTCTGCGAAGGGTCCGCAGGTCGCCTTCTACTTGGTCGATCCACCTTGCCCGCTGCGTGCCTCTTATTCTTGTTCCTGTTGGGTCGCTTTCTAGAACCATTTTAACTGGGTCGTCGTGCGGCATTCTTACGACGTGCCCAGCCCACCGTAGTTGCCCAATTGTTGCATTGTGGATGATGGATGGTTCTCTCAGCAGCTGGTGCAATTCGTAGTTCATTCGCCTGCTCCACGTTCCGTCATCCATCTGCACTCCACCGCGTTGGTCCTCCACGAGCATAGTCCAGGTCTCGTGGCCGTAGAGGACCACCGGTCTAATCAGCGTCTTGTAGACAGTCAACTTCGTGCGGCGGCGAATTTTATTCGACCGGAGCGTCCTCCGGAGTCCAAAGTAGGCACGATTCCCTGCCATAATGCGTCTTTGAATTTCTCTGCTGGTATCATTTTCGGCGGTCACCAGTGAGCCCAAATAATTTAAATAAAATTTTAAGGAAAGGTTAAGGAAGTTTTAAAAGAAACTTCCAGGGGGCTTCTTGGTAGAATTCCAAAGGAGTTATGATAAGCGCTTCCAGTTCAATACAGCGTTGGGAAGACTTGCAAAGGATTAGGGTGATTTTTAGCCACTTCTGGGCTAGGTCATACCCAGAAAATAACAACATGTTAATTACGAGGGGAGTAACTGGGGAATTTACTGGTATGCTATATTGATAGTTTTTGGCATGCCGTGTCAAAAGAGCAGTTTCTTTTCACATTGTTGAAGAACAGAACTCCGGAGAACTTTGAGATTTGGGCGTAATTGCTTTTGCAAACAAACAAGTCAATCGCCGATTTCTCGTGAATAAAAGAACAATCTCGCGAACAAACTAAACCAAATGATAGAGGCATCATTGAAGAAGAATTTTAAGATAATTCTAATGAGAATTCCAAGTAAATCCCGAGAAGAACTTCATCTGAATTACGAACATAGTTAGTTCCATAAGAGTTCTGGAATTAATTGCAAGGCATTTTGAGGATAATTCAAAGCGCATTCTAAGCACAGTTCCAAGGAAATCTGGGGTAAAACTACTTAAGGGATTCCGGGAAGAGCTTAAAATAATCCAAAGACAATTCCGAGAGCATTCCAAGCAGCCGATCCTGAGGGAATTTCATAGGAATTTTAAGGACAATTTCGGAAGAATTCTGGGGAGAACTCCAAGATAGTTCCATGGAGAATTTCAAGATATTCCTAAGGTGAGTTGGATGGGAATTCTTAGGAGAGTTCAAGTGAATTTTGATTATAATTATGGAAGGAAATTTCAACAAATTCTTGAGAGAATCATTGAAAATTCGAAGAGAGTCTTAGAGTGAGTTTCAAGAATGTGTTGGAGTGTTCTGCAGAGAGTTTCTACGCTGTTATAAAGAAAATTGCGTATGGAATCCATCACAATTCAAACCTTAATGATTTTAGAATGCTTGGTTTTTACGCTGTACATACCCTCGTGTAGAAGAAGACTTGTACTTTGGAAGCGGGAGTTCATCGGTTTGTGTAATTATTGAATTGCCAATCTCTTTCAAGTAGAAAAATCAAGTTCAATCTCAATGAACGTCAGCGATTTTGAATATAATATACAGTTGATGACTAATTTCTTCTTCTTCTTCTTCTTCCATTTTAGTACAAGAGAAATCAAGCCCAATCAAACCGACATAGGACGTAAGGTGAAATTAAAAAATACAACCACTCGTATCAGCAACATTCCTAGTAGTAATTCGGTCTTAAGTAAACGTGATTCGCTGCATAGTTCTAGTAACAACTACAGCAGCAATAATAATAACAACAACAACAACAACAACAGCAACCATAACAACAACCACAACGGTAGCAGTAATGCCGTCGTCAATAGTAGTAGTAGTCTATTAAATCCCGCGCTCGCAAGCAACAACCAGCACCACCAGCAGCAGCAGCAACAGCAGCACCAGAACCACAATGGCGGCTTGCTGTCGTCGTCGGCGGTGGCGGCGGCGACGGCGAACAACAATGGCAACAACTACAACAACCAGCACCTTTCGACATCACCAAAACTACCGAAAAGCAATGGTCTGCACAACAATCACCACTACAGCAACGGCAGTAGTAACAACAACCAATCGGCGCAACCTAAACCCGGCTATCAACATACGGTGCACGATCCTCCGCACCAGCAGCAGCAGCAGCAGCAAAAGTCTGAAACCAACGGCGTCGTGTCGAGCCGGACGGCGAACGGGCGGGCGTCCAAGGATACCGGCAATCCCAACCTTATGAAGCGAAATATCAAGTAAGTGTCGTTCGGTTTTAATGTGGTCTGCAAGTCCATTCTAAGCCTATAAGGCCTCTTCAAAACTACGATAAAACCAGAAATGTTACTTGGAATACGATCTGTTTGACATGCCTTAATACGAATTAATCTGATTTAATTTCGACTCAAAAACGACTACCGCCATAATTCTGCGCATTTCGCACTGTATTGTAATTTTATCATACATAAGGGGTTTATTGTAGAAAATTTCAAAACTGCGTGGAATTATGACCCTTTGCGGTAGTCGCATTTGTAAGTCGGAATTTTGCATGACTATAAAAGTTTGAATTTGATTTTGCCTTAACCCGTAGCCGTTTACGATTCTATCCAAGCTGGTTGTTTGTCCAAAACGTGGCGTATCATCTATCTAATCAACGAATCTTTCGTTCTCCTCTCTTCCTCTTAAATTAAAAAAAAAAAAACAGGGAAAGGTTGATCCATCTTCTAGCACTTAGGCCATATAAAAAACCAGAAATCTTCGCCAGAATACAGCAAGGTAAATTTCGATATCTTCCACCCACTCTCCTGGATTGTGTCCGTTTATTGATGCATGTATTGTTTTGTCTTCTTCCAATAACATTTCGGTTGCGGCAACAGACGGTGTCCGTCGGGAGGAGCGAAAATGTATCACTCAAATACTGACAAACATATCCAGTATGCGGGATAACGTCTACTACTTGCACCGGCACATCTGGAACGATGTACAGGAAGACTGGCCGTTCTATAGCGAACAGGAGCGGCAGATACTCAAAAGGTCCTTTCCTAGAATTTCGATTTTCCAATGATTGTTATTAACCGTACCGTTGTCCTGTTTCTTTTCCGCAAACAGGAGGAAACCTCAAAACCTAACACCTCCTCTCAGCTCGGACGGTGGTTCGTCGACGTCGGGACAGAGTCCGTCCAGTACGCACAACGGCAGCAGTCCACCGTCCGGTGGCAAAAGGTCATCGATCGCCAACAACGAGGAGCCCGGCGTCGGCAGTGCGCCAACGTCCAAGAAGCCTCGGATTAGTCACTACAAGAAGGAAGCCCTTCCGGATACCAATCGGTAAGTGGACGTGGAAAAAAATATCGAATTTGTTAGGTTTGGTTGACTTTGGTCAGTGCGGTGCTAGAACACCGCCCAGGCTCTATTATCTGATCGTGTTTGTGACTTATACCTACGTGTCTGTGCAGTGGACTTAAACCTTGAAAAGCATGTTGAAATTCAATATTCATTGTAGCCCCGACCGAACATTAGAAAAAAAATGCAGTACTAGACTCGTACTAGACCACTTCTTTCAGCGGACTTTGATCTATTAACTCCTGCAATGATGTGTACTATAATGATAACAATCCAAAATTCCTCTACTACCTTTCCAACTATTCTTCACTTCATCTTGGAAAATCCTTTCCAAAACCAAACCGAAAATCATACGGTTCTTCCCCTCTAGGCGGGGTGTTACCGATTCTAGGGACTCCAGTAATATGAATCCTCGCTCAAGGCAGCCCGATGATAGTACGCGTTCCTCGAATCCGAACCAGAACCACAACAATCATCAGAACAACCACAACTACCACCACCACCACCACAACAACCATCACGGGTAATTACCTTGAACTTCCCCCATCTAGCTCACCTAGTGACAACCTCTATATCAATATGGCGAAATCTAGTACTACGCGTCGCAATCCCTCACCATTCGAACCATATCCATCCGGGTTTAACATAATGGCATTATTCCAAACATGGGTGTTGGTGGCTTATCGCATCACATAATCTATACAAGGAGTCCAATGGACTCCCAAAAATCATGTCTCAGCCGAAGCGGAGAAATTTCCACCTCGGTGAATGTTTTTTTTTTGTGCAACGGATTACAACTATTTTTCGCTCTTGATGATCCCGGAGAAAACCAAAATCCATGCAGTACTGGAATCTTCATTTTCCTTTCTCTCGCTCTCTCCTTAGATCAAGCGTAACGCCAAATGCGCAGGAATCGGAGGACAGCGGCGTCAGTTTGAGCTACTCGCTCGTGTCGAACGACGTGGCCCGGCGGATCCAGCATCCCGCCAAGGATGAAAAGGATCGGGACGATGTGATATCGGAGCGGGACAACTACGACGACCAGATCAACGCGTACCGGGCCAATACGAACAAGGTCAAATCTCTGAAGGATGACTTTAGGTGCGTTGGCTAAAACGATTCAAATCGGTCAAAGTATCTATAATTGGCTGGTGGGTTTGTCTCCTCTTTTGCAGTGATCAATTTACTAGGATAACCTCGGTGGAACAACGGCGTAAATATAAGACTGAATTTGACAACGATTTTCAAGAGTACCGGCGGCTGCACGAAATCGTTGAACGAGTATCGAGAAAGTTTGCTCAGCTGGAGGAGAACTTGCAACACGAGCGACACAACGAGAGGCGGTATAAGGTCAGATATTGCGCGGAGTTTGACGGGAAGAACGGCAAGTTAATTGGGTTCGAATTTACTTTTCTTTTCCGGTTCTGCCTCAAATAGGAGATTCAGCGACAAATCATCAAGGAGTACGATGAGAGTATAAAGGATAACAAATTTCAGGAGACTAAGCAGAGGTGAGTACCAACCGGTGGAAACGAACGATTTTAAATTGGCTCACTACTTAACTAGCCTATTGGTCCCAAGCAAATCGATTAACATACCCCATTCTAGTCGAGATTCTAGTACTACACTATGTTTGTTTTGATTCGCTATGAAAGTTTGACAGCTAAATGAGGGGTTCGAGGATTTTCCTATGTTTCGAGGGGTGCATCGATTAGCTTGGGACCGAAAATAGTACCAGAGCTGTGCCAAAAAGTTGGGCACGTTTCTTCGGGACCATCTGATCTTAGAGTTACCTCTATGTGAGTACTGCGGGAGAATGTTTAGTACCAATTAGGAAGAAGTCTTGTTTGAAATAAGCAGGATTCAGACGTTTGGCGACGCATTTCAGTAACTCAGATGTATTCAGACGATTCATAACGGTTGTGAACGTATACAAACGTCTGAATGCGTCTGAAAATGTTTATATTTAATCGAATGACGTTTCATCATTGTTCAAAAACCTTTTGAGGTCCTCGATAGCATATCAAGCTGAACATTGCATTAGGTCCTAAGTAACATTGACAGATTCTCTTCGTCGACTTTCTCTTTGCATCCTCACGGCCATGTTAAGACATTCCCAGCTATTTTCAGCACACAGATCTATGAAAGAAGCTATTATCTAGCTTATAATATGACAAACACGACAAGAAACGATTATGTGCTCAACTTATTAACGAAAGAGAAAGTCGACCTAATGCAATGTTCAGCTTGATATGATAACATCAGTAGAATATACTTATTTCGTGTCACAGGTTTCAAAAGGTGTGAGATGCATTTTTCGTGTAAAAAAATCTGGAGAATTGATTGCCGCTTCCAGGATTTCTTTAGGATTATTCTGAAATACCTTCAGAATTACTTTTAATTTTAGAATTCCCCTTATTAATCGTGTAATTCTGTCCAGTATTCTCTAAACATTCTATCCATAACAGTCTTGAAATTTTGTACAGAATGCTTAAGGAATTCCCTTCAGAAAACTCTTGAAATTTACTCTACATTTATTTTTGTATTCTTAATCATTCATAAATTTGCTTTAATTTCTCTTCAACATTTTCTTAATAGTTCGCTTAGAATATTCTGTTGCACTCATACGTCGTGTCCGACGCTTATTCGTCAGTTGTTCGAAAGCAAATGACGAAGAAAACGATTTGGCAAGCGTTTTTATCATCGCTGCTTTTCTCCTCCCTTCCTTTCATTGGTGAAATGGTGAGAGATCAACTGAGCATTGAGCTCGCTCATAAGAGCATGCGCAATGTGTCGTTTTTTTTTCGATTTGCGCTCTATCGTTGCGTCCGTGTTTGGGGTTTTTCGTTACATGTCTGAATTTTGATTTTTTTTTTTAAGTGACCCCAAGTATAGAAATTAAAGACGTAGTCCTACGTCAAAACGCTGATTGTGATTCTTTAAAAGCTATTCGATATTCTTTACCGCTGCGGTCCCAATTTTTTCTGAGGCTTATCTCAAGGAACTTTCAACACTTTTTGATAGAATTTGTCAATAGAAATACAAAAATTTATAATTTGTTTTTGTATGAAATAGAATGATTTAAGACATCCAAATAATTCTGAAGTGTTGATCCTCATATTTATTGAAGGATGCGTATTAAGAAAATGCTCGTAGAGCTTCAACTTATAATATGAAATGCAAAAGAACCTCATACAAGGCATAATAAGATCTCCCAATCATCCTGGAGAATTTATCTTGAAGTTCTAGCTGCTCCATGGAATGTTGCTCGATGCCCCGGCTAAATGAACAAATGCGAGAACTTCTTGGGACCTCATATAATCATGTGAGATTTATAACAACATATCTTGGATTCTCCAAATCATCCTGCAGTTTAGATCATAATGTTCCATAGGCTCAACAAGGTATTATATGATTACCTGACTAAATTTTTTAATCATTGAGATCCAGGCAAAATAGCGAAATAAGTTGACCGATGGTAAATGGAGGAGTTCAATCTGAGAATATCTCTAGCAGAACTTCAAAGGAATTCGGAAAAGAATTACAGAAGAGTTTGCCAACCATGTGTTGAAGGGAAATCTAAGGATTTTTTGAGGAGAACTGCAAATGAATTCTTAAGAAATTTTCAATGTGAGTAGAATTATGAGGAAGGAGTGAATTTTGAAGGTAATTTTTTAATGGATTCAATGACAATTCTGAGAATTATTCAAAGAGTTTCTAACTGAGAAAAATTTCAAAGTATTTCCACCGTATATTAAAAAAAAATATGGGATGTCGGAGAAGTATTCCAAAGATATTTCGATGATATTTTTAGAAAATTCAAAGAAACGTTCGAAAATTTATGGAATTTCTTGAATAATTCCATGAGAACTTCAGGAGAATACAAAGTGAACGCTGAGGAGAACTCCAATGAAAAACTCGGAACTACTCGAAAAATCCCAAAATTTCCTTGACGTTGTCCAAACTGTCTTGAAGGCCTTTTGTAGCCTGATACTCACAATACTTCTCTTCATTTAATAACTTCCCTAAAGTTGCTCAATTTTCCAAACGGTCAAGGATATTCTCTGAACTGCCGTGAGATAGCATAGTGACGTAAATCCATTTAGTTGATTGATCAGAAAACAAATACTATTATCAAAATTATTACTGGACCTGTTAAATATGATCTAATAATGCTTAAAATATGAACGTTGATGCTTAAAAAAGCTTTAAATTTTCAGCACTTATTTATGGCTTACGTGTAGAAACAGTGAAACAATTTCACTGATTCTCCTAAAATGTACGACTAAGGTCATATTGCTACTTTGCTTCAAAATTTTGTGCAATTGTTAAATGTTTTTGGGTGTCATTAATGATGCAGAAATCGAATATGTATATGGTGAAAGGTGAAAATTGAGCATGGTGGCGCTTACGTCACTTTTTCATCTCACAGAAGTAAAGTTTTCGAATTTTTATTATAGAATTCTTGGAAGTTTCTGATGTTTTCAAAATTCGCTGAAGTTCTCGGAACTTTAAAAAAAATGTTATTTCTCTAATTTATCTGGAACGACGATCTCTGTTCTTTCCTGAAATTCTAGAAATCTCTCTAATGTTTTTTGTAGTTCTCGTGAAGCTTGTTGTACTACCATAAATGTAATTAAATTGTCCTAAAAATGTCTAAGCTTCCGTGCAGTTGACTGAACTTATGAGAAAAATTCAAGAAAAAATCTTCACATCTTTGAAGTTCTATGAAATTCTGGGAATTCTCCTTGTACATTTTGGAAACTTCTCAAAATTTCCCGCTAATTTTTGAAATCCATGGAACTTTCCTGAGGATCCAGAATTTTTGGAGCTTACGAAACTTCTTTTAAATTTTCCCACATTTTCCAAACATTCGTGGAGTTATCGGATCTTCCCGAAAGTTCCATGGACTTCTATGAAGTTGTCGATGTTTTTTTCTGAAGATCTCTGGACTGCTGTGAAGCTTTTGAAATTTTTCTGAAATGCCTCAACTTCCCTGAAATTTCTGAATTTATATTAAGCTCCCACAGTTTTTCTGGAATCAAAACGAAATAATGAAGATCACCTTGCTCCACTTGGCCTCCATAAGACTCTCCTCTGTCTCACAAATTTATAAAAAAAATCAAAGATTTTCAGTGAAGTTCATGTCATTTAGAATAGTATTATACCTAAATTTCCATTGATATCACCTTCATGAGAATTATTCTCAGATTTTCGTAGAAATTCTTGAAACTCGTCTTAAAATTCCCTTGGAAATTTCATCCGCATGTCCTGGAATACTACTAAAAGTTTCTTTGGTTATTCTGCTTACAATTTCATGTATGAAATTCCCTCGAATTTCTTATGAATTCTCTTGAAACTTCTCTTCAAACTAGCTTGAAATTCTACGTAGAATTATTTGAGCTATATTATGAATTTACTATTTACTAAGTTGCTATTATTCATATTTACTAGCAGCTCTCCTCAGAATTTCTCTTTGATCAATTGATTTATCAACATTAATGAGATTTTCGGCTGTTTTCACTTTGAATCCTCCTCCGAATTCGCTTACTTCCGATTTGCTGTAGAGTACTCTCAAATTCTACTCACAATCCCCATAGTCGTCTTCACAACTAGTTTGGAATTCATCTTTAGTTACCTTTACCAGAAATTTTTGGTCAATTTTCATTTCCCATAATTATTTTCATTTCTCTATGGTTCTTCTCAATTTATTTGGCATTCTCATCATGAAGTAATGAAATTGTGTTGTTAGTGGAATGCTTAAATAAAACAGCAAAAAAGGTTATCTTCCATTTAATTCTACTTAATCTATTTTGGTATCTTATCTCTGTACTTTGTAGTTTCATTTTTATACCCTTATCTTGACATTTTTACCAAGGGGATGATTACTTAAGGGGGGTTAGATTTTAATAAGTCTTTAGTGGGAATGACACTGAGTCAAAATACGTATGCCAAAATTAATTAAGTGGAATTAGATGGATGATAACCTTTTTTCCTGTTTTATTATCATCATAATTGTATGCTTAAAGTGAATTATCAGAACCCTAAAATGTTGTCTAAGTCCAGTGGCGTTTCCTTAACCTCAATGTACCTTTGCCCCAACTCTCAGAACATAAACAAGTATCAAAAACCGGGAATTTTTTTCTTAAATTCAGTGGCCACCCTGTTACTGGCAAAGTCCTTTAAGAATTGAAGTATTTTAGGCCTTTATATTGTTCACAATAACAATAGTAACTGTATGTCAGTATACAACATTCAAAATACGCGAAAAGCTTTCAAAAATATATGAAAATCGATTACAATTTAATTTCATAAATTAATAAGCCTTTTTTTAACCTTTCAATGGATAGGCCCTTTTTGTTAAGCCGTTGTGCGTGTCTTCAGAAATGGTACGCCCTTTGCTAAGCCTTTTCGCAACGTCAAATAAATTCAAAACAAATCATCGGCCCTGCCTCAAGCAGTAGGGCCTAGCTTTGGTTTGAAAATTTTCAATCATCGGTCCTTCTACGGCACTAGGCTTATCAATATGAAATGAAATAAATGAATGGTTGGCCGTTTTAGTGTGCGGCCCGAAATGAATAGCAAAATTTCGTTGATCGGCCGTTTCGAAAATCGAGTTATTTTTAATGATTTCTCTCGATTATGCGGAACTTTCCTACACGATTAGTAGCTATCAAGCGGTGCTAAAGAATGGTATCAAAACCCGATTTGGTTACGTTTTGGACATAGGCCCACTTCAAATGTTACTCGAGCAGCGCTGTCATCTGATGACTCAATGCGCGAAATGTACTGATTTTTTGAAATATTCAAAGTGAGAATCAAGCAAACACACAACGTTGGCTTGTTTTTCACCCTGCGCAAGTGTAAAGCAGCGGAGAAGAGAAGACAGACACACACCCAGAAATAACGAAAGCTCCATGTGTAGCTATCGCCCCCACGACTCCGACGTAAAGAGCGCCACTCAGTGTAGGGTTGCAAATGTCAAACACAGCCAAAATACAATTTTTCTTTGTTGTGCCCTTCCTCATCGCCTATGCATGCAGTCGTGGTAAGCAAAGTCTGCAAAGAATTCAAAGAAGACATTGGCGCTTGTTGTATTATATTCGCTCCCTGCGCCGCATGGAGTGTACCGCTCATTGTGTGGATCGCTTTCTCACAGATTAGTTGGAAAAGAGTGTGCGGAGTAAATGGGAGAACCACACACTCTTTGTTGAGTGTTGTGAGATGCATGCACAAAGTTGCTTTGCTAACGCTCTGCGGTGCTTTCCAGCCGTGTACTCGGGAAATGTCTAATGACATCTTAAGACGCTTGAACACTTGCTAAGAGGTACTGAACCTCCTGAAAGGTCTTAAAATATATAACCGATTACTGGTAGATGGTTCGCACAACGTTTTCAAACGTCTGATAAAGTCTTGCATCACCTGAAGGCATCTAGAATTGTTTTTGAACGGCTTGTCATAAATACTAGCTGCATTCAATGACGCAGCTCGCACTTGATTCACGTTTCGCAACTTATTCAGACTATTTTGAGACGATTCGTTGAGATGTTTTTAAACGATTCGAAATAATCCTGATTATTCTGAAACGTCTGCAGTCGTCTTAACAAGTCTGGAAGCGTCTTTCGATAGCTTGACGAACGTTTTCCAATTTGTTAAGACGTTATCAGATGGCTCATAATGATTATTTCAAAATCGCCTTACGTAAACTTGATAGACCTTTCGCAACTTATTCCGGCTATTTTGAGACGTCTCTTAGCAATTACGATAGCGTCTTCCGTAAACTTGATGGATGTTTAACGATTTGTTCGGGTGTTTTCAAACGATTTGAAATAATCCTGATTATTCTGAGGCGTCTGCAGTCGTATTAAGAAGTCTGGAAGCGTCTTTCGATAGCTTGACGAACGTTTCCCAATTTGTTAAGACGTTATCAGATGTCTCAGATTAATCTACTAGTCTTGGATTCTGAAAGACGTTAGCCACTTGATAGCGTATTCAGAAGTCAAATGTCAATTTTGGGCATCTTTTATTGTCTAAAGATGACTGAATTTGCCATCAGACACATAAACTTCTGTTTATTCAGCCCAACGGAAACACCCGCAATACTTCGAATGATTATAGCGTTGCTCGAGCCCTTTAACAATATGCTTTCGAATTTCGGATGATTGCCTTATGATTGAATTCGGCATCAGCTCATGAGCATCCATATGACTGTCATCCAAATAAAGGGTGATATTTATTTGAAAATTGCCTGTAAACCATACAGCGCTCAGATGGAATAGGATGGCTTGCAAATGCTTGAATTTAGATTCATAATTCTATTGCTAACATTTCCATATTGAATAGCCATGAACAGCCATTCCATCATGGATACAAAAATCTTTAGTTAGTAGAGGAATCTTCATCCACCAAGAAATAGACAATCTTCGGTTTCCACACTTTACCACTGTTCGTACCACCTCTGATAACGATGACTATGTTTCCACCTCGTTTGTCAGTTCAGATCAGCAAATGACGTTCGACAGAATTATTGGCATCATCGTTTTGAATTATTTGCGTTTTGGGCCAGAACCAATACCATATGCATTTCAATTTGGGATGAGAATCATTCTACAGAGATCTTTACGTATTTCAACTGAGGTCCGTTCGCTTCTCGTGTAAATGATCATCCTGTATTCGAGAGGAGCATCATCTGATTATAAAACAACCGTCATCCGGTTGCAGCTATCATTCAAAAAAGCGATTTCGATGTTTCGATTTGAATGGTCTGAGGTTTCATTCCACGGTCACGAGTTCAAATCTCATCCGGAACAGACTTGTTAATGACGTTAACGTCTTGAATGCAAATTCCCATTGAAGACGTTAACGATTAACAACCCTGGTCACGAATGACACTGTTGCGACACCGCTCTTGTATTGACGTCTAAATCTCTCATTTCGCTTTTGCTGTATTTAGCTAAAATTTTAGTTTTTAAAACAAATTGAACGGGCTTGAAACGTCTGCAGCAAACATAGCGCATTCAGACACCGTCTTTAAGCGTATTGAAATGTGTGACAGACGTTTGATACGCTTGTTTTGCCGTTAGCCGCTTGATGACGTCTTACCGTCTTACTGCGTCTGGTACCATTTTTAGGCATCTGAACCGTCTGAATTCGGTTAGATTTGCAACCTTATGTCTATTTTTTGTAATCACAATAAACATGTGGGGAGCCGGGTTGGCTCAGCCGGTAAAGGCGCAGCTACAAAGCAAGACCATGCTGGGCTCGATTCCCGGTCCGGTCTAGGAATTTTTCGGGCTGGAAAATTTGTCGACTTCCCTGGGCATAGAGTATGATTGTACTTGCCACATAATTATACGAATGCAAAAATGGTACAGGCGTCGAAATCTCTCAATTAATAGCTTTGAAGTGCATCTATAACACTAAGTTGAGAGCACGCATTAAGCTAATATGCGATAAGCAATAAGCTTGAAATGCGAAGAAGAATAAGAAGAAAAATAAGGCGGCCAATACCGTGAACCCCCGTTTATCTGAACGATGCTTCGTTCAAATTAACGGAGTTCATTTCTAATTTGAACTTCCAGTAACCCTATGACTAGTAGAAAAACGAGTTTCTGGTAACTTTATTTGCTGTTTTATTTTGATTCTACGTTCCGTTTAGTATCGTTCCATTTGAGCAATTTTTAATTTGCGCGGTGTGCAGATTGAGAACGGTTAGATAACCGGGGGGTCCACGGTCCCAATTGAGTCCCAATCACTGGTGTGCGTCGATTGCCAATTGGTGATTAATCACCGACGGCAATCGAGTGTCAGAGAGGCAACTCAGCACCAGGTACCTATCGAACCTATCAACACGTGGGCCGGGACCATCGGTCTTACATCCCTTCCTAAGGAAGTCAAGACCAGAGACGAGACAGAATAATCCCATCACCCTTGGCTGAACCCAGACACACTGGTGTGAGGAATTAGTCACGCTTACCACTCAACCATCGGCTCACCGTCGTTAAGGTTTCTCAATTCAATAGAAATTTTCAAAAGTTCTTCAGATAGTGACATTTTGAAACGTTTGATGATATCTTGACGCGTCTGAAAGCGTCTTGAATCGTTTTGGAACTAATGTCAGACGGTCAGACCGCTGTTTGTCTTATATATTTTTAAGACGCTTGTAGTGTCGTTAGCCACTACTTCATCAAACGTCTGATGCTGTCTTTAGTCATCTGATACCGTCTGATAGTAGACTAAATTAGTTATCAGCGGCGCCGATGGTCTTGTGATGGTCTAGTGATGGTCTAGGGCCTGGGTTCAATCCCAGTCGGCGACGCCGGGATTGTCTGAGGCATAAAATCTCTGATCACGCCTTCCTTCGGAAGGGAAGTAAAGCCGTTGGTCCCGGTCCATGAGTTGATGGGTCTATAGGTTGGGTTTAGGTGTGGGAGCTGCCTCCCTGACGTCGGTAGCATTGGTACCAGTGCACACAGCATTCAGGTTCAATGAGTCATTTTCATATGAATATGAACAGGCATCCGCCTCATTATTCACTGCCTCGTGAGAGTCTGAATGATTGGGAAGTAAACGAGTCACTGACAGCCGAGCACTCACTCATTCGCTCAGTCAGCACGTTTATTCTTCCGTTATGGTACCCAATCCTTGTGTGGAATGACTGATGGAAAAATGCCTCAATTACATGCTGTGTGAGCGAAGGCAAGCGGTGTGAGTTGCCTGTTCGTGAGTTACTGAATGTTTTTGTTGGCTCTTTCATTGCCTCGTCCTTCACCGTTTGATTCATACGGTCCAGATTGAATTAATTGAATAGAGCAGTGCTTTCACAATTCACACTCAGCCTAAGCAGTTAATTATTTTACGGTCTGATTGGTACTCAGTACGGAAAACAAGTTGACAAAAAACCAATCTAGGGCAAAAAAATCAAACGTCTTAACTTTTATTCTTTTAGTCTAAATATAGATTACTCAAAACAGCATAAATATTCAACTGTTCATGAACCCTTTGCACGACTTAAGAAGTCTTCATTCGGCTTAACTTTTGACTTTGAAGCGTCTGATACCGTCTGAAGTCGGCTACAGTCCTCCCGCCACTAATCGCCTTTCTGTTTTTATTTTTTACCTTCGCAAACAGGTTCAACTACCTTCACAACAAGCTATCTCATATCAAGCATCTCGTGCACGACTACGACGTAGCCATCACCAACGGACACTGTCGGCCGCAGGAGAATTACTGACGATTATTGAAGCCTGTAAAACAGCACTCGTCGCAATTCGTATGTTGACGACACTAAACCATTACACATACACAATACACACGCATACAGCAGATAGGAGAACCTTAAGTGCAGAAATGAAGCAACCCTCAAACGCGTTTTCTCGCTCTCCAAGAGATATATGCTGGAACGGAAAACCAATAGCAGTAGCAGCAACCGCAAACAGCAGCAGCAGCAGCAGCAATGGCCGCAGCAAGCAATCCTTTGTTACCTTTTTAATTAATGGAAAATAATTTGTTTAGAAGTTAGAACCAGCCAAGGAGAACCTAAAAAAAAAAAAGTTGAACTAATTTCACGGGAGGAGCGATCAGCCGGAACCGGACGCTGCCCACTAAGGTGGAACAGAGAGCCATGTATCCGCGGGATGCGCCTCCCAGCCTCTTCCTGCCGCAGCAGCAGAAGCAGGAACCTCATCTCAAGTAAGCAACTTCTCGCGACGATGGTGCTCTCGTTCGTTGTCACATATATGCCTTGACCCGCCCCGCTCCCACACGCAACCACTCCTCCAGAAGCAGAGCGCGCAACCCAGAATCCACAAAACCACCACCACCACCACCATCCCAGTAGCATCTCGTAATAGTAGTAGTAGTCATCGTCGCCGTCGTACTCGCGGTTTCTCGCCAACTCACCTCTAAAATACACACACACACACACAAACACACATGGTGGAAAAATGATGTCTCGCTCCTCCACGGAAACCCAAACACCCAGACACATACACAAGCGCCTAAGCCAGCGTAGGAAGCAGGATCCGTGCCGCCACAATTAGCTATTGTTTCTACGGTATGGACAGGATATTGCCGACAAAGCCAACAATCAAAAGAGTAAGAACTTTTACCCCAAACACACACACACATACAAATTTACATTTAAAAGAGAAAAGAGAGTGAGAGACATTATCAAAAAAAAAAACATGAATTGATTTCTAAGGATTTTTCGTTTAAACTAATTTTAGGAGTTTATGAAACTTAACTAGTTAATTGAACGTTTAGCAAACAGCATCAGCAGCAGCAGAAGAAGAAAAAATAAAAAAGAAGGGAATTAAAAGGAGAAGAAAGAGAGAGAGAGAGAAAAAGAGTAAAGCTCGAAGTCACCAAGTGTAGTAGATTTTTTGAATTAATTTCCTTAGTTTTCTCGTTTTTAAATTTCTTTTGTTTCCTTTGCAATGAGAGCAAAACAATATGGTTGTTGTACGGTTCCCCTTTTTAAGAAGAGAAACAAAGAAAGCGGTTGTTTGGAGAATGCGAGAGAGGAGCTATCGAAACAGAATGAAACCTATATCGTGATATTCTTTTTGTTTTCTTCCAACACACTCACTCCTGCACACTTGCGCGTCACGTGTGCGAGTGGGTAGCAAAAGCCAAGCCAATACTAGAAAGAACTGTTAACACTCGTCGAAGAGAATAGAGAGAGACAGAGACATAGATCACGGAACAAAGGAAACCGAGAGGGGAAGAGGATTTAAGGAAATTATGGGTATTTAATTAATTTATTAGTTGTTTAATTTAGGCAATTTTGAAAAATATGTAAAAATGCAAGCGTAAGAAAGAATCGAAAAGAAATGAAGAAAGCGAGAGTGAATATCACTCGTAAAACAAATGAAGTCAGCCAACTCACAACTGCAAACAAACACACACACTTACACATTCGAGCGAAGAAAGAGATTGTTGTTGGTGGGTGAAAGACTTGGGATCATTGGATCGCCGCCCAACCGACTCGAAACCGGACAACTCCCCCCCCCCTAGTGCCACAACAGAGAATTAGCAAAAACGGAAACAACACAAAAACATTTATTGAAAACAATCTCTAATCAACGAGTTTCGAGGTCGGTGACGGAGGGCGGCTGATCCGATGAAGGTCATCTGGAAAGCGTCTCTGAAAGAGACAACCCATCGTGGGTTAACCGAAGAAGGAGTCAACAGATGAAGCGAAGAAGGGAGAAACCATTCGGCAGCAGGTGTTACAATGTCTTTTTTCGATTTTTTAATAATTGTTTGGACATGGCGCGGGAAGACTGTCTCGGTTGAAATTGTGAGTTCCTGTGAGCAAAGATGCGCGCAAAGCCACGAGGGAGTGTAAATAGTGAAATATTTGCCAGTGGAAAATTTGTTTTCCCCATAAACTGTGACCGATAAAACGGGGGGAAACCCGTTTTGTTAATTTTGTTTTTTTTTTCAATTTGAATGGTTTATGTTTGAAATTATTTTTTTGGTTTCCGTACTATGGGATAGAGAAACGCCAAAAAAAAAAATGAGGCGGAAAGAGAGGATTGAAGTTGATTTTATGGTTATTATTTGATTTTTCCGTTCTAGATTTTACGTTTGTTCCTAAGTTTATTTTTTTTTTCATTAGTTTGGTGAAGCAAATCAAAAGATCGATTATAAGAGGTGTGTAGTAGTGTAGTCTAATAGAATGAAATCCAGCAAACAATCAACAATTAGGTTTGGCCAGCATAGGTGCAAACAGTTACAAAACGTTAGTTTAATTTGTAAATAAGTCGCAATGAAACACCGGTGCGTCGAAGTTTGGTTGCAGGTAGGATGTGGATGCGTAATGCGGATTGGGGCTAAATTTGCACGTTTTTCGTCGCCTAGAAAGGCGAACAAGGTCATTATTGAGCGTTTAAGACGTTTGAAGACGGTAGAAGATTTTTTCATGCAAGCATTCGTACGAAAAACGCTTTGTTTCGACTTCTCCAATGAGGCCTCAGTTGAAAAGCTTATTGGAGGCGTTTGCATATCAGACAGGGGTATTAGCGAGCGTTTAAGACGATTGAAGATGCCTGGAGACGTTTGGGACTATTAAAAACGCTTTGATACGTTTCAAGTCGTTTGAAGACTAAATTGATGTTACGTTTGTCTCAGTCCTTGGTTATTTGCAATCGAGCTGGAGCAGTAGAAGTATGCACTGTTCATTTAAGATAAAGACGTCAAAATACGCTTAAAGATGTTTTGAGACGGTTGGAAACGATCAAAGACCTAAAAATGAGAATTGAAAAATGATTTCCGTCGTTTGCAGCAAATTTCCAACCCGAAAAATCCTCGTAAGGACCGGGAATCGAACCCGCTGCCACCAGTATGGACTTCTGTATAGCGAATTGAGCTAGCGGATGCCAAAAGTTCTTTGCCATTACGTGAAGCTAAAATACACTTCAAGACCAACAATTGAAATGGCCTTAACCCCATTTTGTAAACAAACCTTGTAAAGCCATTTTCTCGCGAACCGAAACCTACATTTGCAAACCTAAACCACAATTGGGTAGAGGAGAATTTCTCCTACCTGTTCATTATGTTGGTTTGCCTTTGCGGACTTCTGTTCGCGAGAAAATGGCCTTACAAGGTTTGTTTACAAAATGGAGTTAAGGCCATTTCAATTGTTGGTCTTGACTTCATTCAACATAAGTCGTCAGTCGTCTAAAATACATTTTTTACAGCTTCAAAACTACGTTTCACAAACATTGTAAAAATGGCTAGTCTAAGATGTTTGTAAATGACCATGATTATCTCCACCATGATCACATTCGTACGACCTTCAGAGCTTGTGAAACGTCTGCCATTATCTTAACAAGTCCGGCAACATCATGGTTATTCTGAAACGTCTGAAATTGTCTTATCATCATCAAACGTTTGCAGACGACTTTCCAACTTTACCGAGAAGTTCTTAACCGACTCGAAAAGATAGGACATGATCAGGGTTATTATTCCGATTCCTGAAAAGGCCTGAACAAGTCTGGAAGTGTCTTCCTTAAACTTGGTGGTTGCTTGCTAACTTTTCAGACGTTTTCAAAGGACTTGTAATGAACGTGGTTATTCTAAGAGTTCTGAAATCGTCATCGCATTTTGTTAAGACGTTTTCCGAGGACTCGAAATGATTCCATCGTTTGAATAAGTACGGAAGCGTCTTCCGTAAACATTAAGGATGCTCGCCAACTTGTGCAGACGTTTTCAAAGGACTCGGATATCATGGTTTGTCTGAAGCGTCTGAATTCGTCTTTATAAATTCGGAAGCAACGTTTCTCATTTGGTTAACACGTTTTCAAACGACTCGAAATGACTATGCTTATTCTGAGACGCCTGATTTCGTCTGAATAAGTTCGGAAGCGTCTTCGGTAAACTTGAAGACTGCTTACCAACTTGTTCAGACGTTTCCAAAGGACTCGGATTGATTATGGTTGGTCTGAAGCGTCTGAATTCGTCTTTGTAAATCCGGAAGCGACGTTTCTCATTTTCTTTGAAATGATGACGATCATTCAGAGACGCCTAAATTCGTCTGAATAACTCCGGAAACGTCTTCCGTATACTTGAAGGATGCTTACCAAACGTTTTCAAAGGACTCGGGATGCTTACCAACTTGATAAGATGTTTTCAAAGGACTCGGAAGCAACGTTTCTCATGTTGTTATATTATTTTCGATTTTGATCTGGTCATTTTGAGACGCCTGAATAACTCCGGAAGCGTCTTCGGTAAACTTGTAGGATGTTTACCAACTTGTTCAGACGTTTTCAACGGACTCGGAAAAGTTGAAGTTGTTTTTCATTTTTTTTTCAGACGTTACCAGACAACTCGAAAAATTGGTTATTCTGAGACGACTTTTAACTAATCCGGACATCATTTTGCGTTAGCTAGATGGGTGGTGATGAACTTGTTCAGATTCATCCAAATGATTCGGATTGATCATAGTTGGTATTAAGCGTCTGAAATCGTCTTAACAAATTTGGAAGCGCCTTCCGAGAACTTAGAGACGTTTCCCGATTTTTCAGACGTTATCAGACGGCTAAGTATGATCATGGTTATTTCGAAATCGTCTTATTCCGATTATTTTAAAACGTCTCTTAGCAATTACGATAGCGTCTTCCGTAAACTTGATGGATGCTTAACGATTTGTTCAGATGTTTTAAAACGATGCGAAATAATCCTGAATTCTGAGGCGTCTGCAGTCGTCTGTATTATTCTAGGTTGGATGTCTCTTAAACATTCCGACAGCGTGACGGATTTTTTACAACTTGTTCAGACGTTTAACAAGTTTGACAGTGTTTTCCGTAGATACGAAGGACGTTTACCAACATGTTCTGTCGTTTTCAGAAGACTCGAAATGATCATGGTTATTCTGAGGCGTGTGCAATCGTCTTAACAAGTCTGTTAGCGTGTTCCGTAAACTTGATGGACGTCTTCAGACGACTAAAAAATCTAGTTTATTTTGAACTAGTCTGAACTCGTCTTCACAAACCTGGAAGCGTCTTCCACAAACATAAAGATGAAGATGTTAGCGCCGGTGGTGTAGTGGTAAGCGTGACTGCTTTCTCACTGTTGGGTTCAATCCCAGCCGAGGTCGGTGAGATTTTTCTGAGGCATAAAAATCTCTGGTCACGTCTTCCTTCGGAAGGGAAGTAAAGCTGTTGGTCCCGGCCTATGTGTGTTTGAATGGGTGCGATATCCTACGCAGGTGTGGAAGCTTCCTTCCTGCACATTCGATTGTCGTCAACGGATGGCAATCGATGTCCGTCGGTGACTGGCACTAGATTGCGGAACAGAGACCGACGTTAAATAAAGGAAAGAAGATGAAGAAGATGAAGATGTTTTTTCAAACTTTGCGGACATTTTGAATGCGCATCGGGCTCTGCTCCGCAATCGAGTGCCAATCATCGACGGACATTGATTTTCAGTCATTGACGGCAATCGAATGCCACTGAGGTGACTTATCGAACCCATCCACCCATCCGGGACCAACCAAAATCCCAACGACCTCGGCTGGGATTGAACCCAGACTCACTGGGGTGAGAAAGCAGTCACGCTTACCGCTACACCACCGGCACCGGCATCTTGAATGCGGACAGCGGGTCAAAACGTCCTAACGTTTCTCTTATAATGAGTAGTGAAACTAGCCAACAGTTTTGCCTCGATTCCCTTTTTTTTTTGAACAAAACGAATTTTCAGACAATTTTTTTTTTAATGTTCGTTTTGTTTGGAAACGGGAATAAGGCGCTGGATTCCATATGGGATGGAATCTTTTCAAGCACTTGGCGTTTTCTTTTAAAGTATTTCATTACCATTGAATGAGCTAAAATAATCTAGGTAAGATCGTGGTGACATTTAAGACGTTTGAAGACACCACGTGGTGTCTTGAAGATTATTTTCTGTAGGTGTCTTAAAGCGTCTTCTGAAGGTATTATAAGACGTCTCTTCCGAGTAATCAAATTGATTTTGAAATTTCTGGTTGAAGCGTCTTTTTCAGACGTTTAGAGCCATCTAGCAATCCCCCCTATTCTGCGAGTCACGTGACTCTCTCTCACCGGTGAGGTGACAATAGTCACCTCGTGTGAGGTAACTCTCCATTTGATTTACATGGAGAGTCACCTCACCGGTGAGAGAGAGTCACGTGACTCGCAGAATAGGGGGGAATATTTGCAAATGTTAGAGTTATTTCAAAGTCACCTAAATTCATCATTTTTTTCCTTAAATGAAGAGCATTTTTGACAAACGCTTCGGCAGGCCGCTACGTTAGATCGAAGCAACTTTCTCATAAAATACATAGAACCAGTGCTGAGATTTGTCATTGTCATTGACAGACTTTCGCGCGATATTGACAAAATTGTTCGTCACATAGTCACTGACAGACTTGATCCTCAAAAAAACCTTCGTCAAAATCTCATTCATTTTTTCGTCAATGACAAAGATTCACCTGGTAACAAAAAAGGTAATTTAGTACATTCTGTGTCACATTATTGTTATCCAAGTAGCTCAGGACGTAGATACTTGTTCACTGAAATGGATCCATGTAATTGTTTTGCTCAAGTCATTTAATTTCGTTACAAATTTAGCTAATAAGCAAATCTGCACATGTTCGTCACTGACACCATTGTCATTGACAATTGACATGGTTTGCCTTGACTATGACTGTTAGCTCAAATGAGTGACCAAAGCAGAATTGTCAATATCACCGTGTACTGTCGAGATTTTGCAGCACTGCATAGAACATATATTTTGGAAAGTATTGGTGAGTGAATGAAAATATTTGATTTTGAATGCTTTCTTTACGAAATTACCTTGGATAACAAACGCTTTAAACTTTTTTAAGTATAATACTTTATCCAGCCCAGCTGCAACCAAATTCCGAGAACGCAAACACATTCATCGTGACAACAAACACCCAGATCAAAACCGAAATAGAATTAAAGCAACAACAAGGAAATTGGTAACATCAAATCACAAACACGCAACTCCAACGATGTTTTTCGTTCTAATATTGAGAAACGAATAATTGTTTTGTATTGAAGGTTCTTTTAGGCTATAACAAAAATTATCGCGTACAAAGAAGTGAAACAACGCAAACCAGATGAATCGAATGATTGGAATTCTAGCGAAATTGCTAGCAACTTGCCTTTTTTGTTGTCGTTGTCGTTATGTTGGTACTAAAGTGTGGGGAATTGAGGTTAGGTTCGATTGTTATTATTTCTTTTAAATTTCGATTCGACAACGAGTCGAGCGAATTGAACGGTTTAAGGCGTTTTGTTTGAAAAAAAAAACTAGAATCGATTCAAAATGATACAATGACAATACTGTTTTCCGTTTCCTCATCGCAGCCTTTGATTTTTACAGAAACACTCAAACACACACACAAATAAGAACATAAGCGTCCAATGCAAAAGAGCGAGTGTTTTAAAAACACACAAACACACACACACACACGCACACACATCACAAGTCATTCGATGCCAACAGGAAAATAGAATTTTTCAATTCCATCCATGGATCGTTTTGCGATAAGTAGAGGAATCAAAAAACATGAACAAAACTTTCGTCCCAACTTTGAGTAGAAAATTTATTTTGCACATACAAACACACACACACACACACACACACACATAAACATAAATAGAAAGAGCTATCAGCTGATCCGTCTTATCCGCAGATTTTATTAAGAACTTTTCTCCCCTTTTTGAAATGGTTTTCTTGCTACAATTTCAGAGAAAAGCTAACGACAGAAACATCAAAATACATGTTAATTGAAAAAAAAAAACAAGACATCAAACAAACTCCAATTACATAGCAAATGCACACCACACAGACATACATACATAGCTGTTTAGTTATTAGGGAACGAGTGAAAACGGAACAACCAAGCCAATTTAGCCATCCAAATTGTGTATAGGATATTGTGTGTCTCCCCTTTCTTCCTTTATTCAGTAGGCAGTTTTGAAAATGTGAAAACAAATGTGCATAATTGTAGATGTCTCTTTATATCGAAACAGAAAATTAAAGTTATTAGTAAAACAAGCAATGAATGCCAGACATGGTTTGTTGTTTTTGCAGTACTAGAATTAGCGAAGAACACACCACACCACTACATTCTAAAATGTATAACGACAAAACTAAAACAAAAGGGATACATAAAATGTCTCGCAAACGGAATCTTGCCACCACCACAATCTGAAATGATCCTCCTTTTTATTAGAAAAAAAAACAAATCGATTAAAAAATGACAACACAAAACACACAGTAGTAGCCGTCGAGAATTAACCTTCCAGCAAGTAATTGAGGTACTAGAATTTTACAAGAACGAACAATTGAGTCCATCGAATTGAAACGATTAATAAACAGCCAAGATCCAGAAATTCGTTTTCCTCTGACTATTTTTCACACATCTTTGTCGTTAGAGCGCCAAATTCCAGCAACTAAAACCAACGGAAATCTGTCCTCCAGAAAATTTGAACTTTCCATTAATCTAGTAGGATGAATGTCAAAAATTGGCCTATATTTAGTAGATCCCTTCAAAGTTTTCCCTCAATCTAGAGAGCTTCGGTTTTCGTTGAAAACGAGTCAGAATTCCAAAATTGGGAATTCAGTCACACATCCGCCCGGCCCCTCCTTCCTTCCGTTTTAGTAATAGTTTAGTAGTAAAAAATTAGCCAAGTCCTCCCCTGCACACACACACACACATTGACACACACTAGCTCCATTTGCACCTCTACTGAGAAAAAAAATACACTTCCAAACTGAGGAGGAATTCGACAAACAATAAGATTGAGTTTCATCAATTAAATGCGTCCAAACGGAGGGGATGAATCGAACATTTTGACAATTATTTAGGCGTTAATACTGAAGGAATAGAAAACCAAAATCTAAATTTTTAAAGAGACTGAATATAAAAAAAACAGAAGTGTAACAACACTGAAGTAAAGCGAAAGATGGTTTAAGTTCAAAGATCGACTAAAAACTAACTGAAACTCAACCTTCCCAGAAAGTTCTTCTCTGTTTTTATTTTCGAAACGAATTTTAGCATCTATCAAATGACGCTCAATGTGAAACAAACTAGCTAAGCAAGAGGCCATCCGTATCTAAAAAATTGCTTTTCAACCTATATTAGTCTCCAATCGTTTCAATGAAACTATATCAACACTCACGAACACAAATATATCGATCCTACAAATGTGTATCAAAACAAAAGTGGAATGATAGCAAACTTGATGCTGAAACTAAACGTAAACATTTCTAATCTCAACAATTATAGTCGAATAAAAAAAAAAACTACAACAGAAGAAACATGTTAAAAACCACATTAGTAGTGAATGCTAAGTATTAGTTAAACACACTGAACAGAAAAGAAAGAGAAACAAGTGAATAAATGTGTCATTTAACCCTAGGAAGTTTACTAAAACTTGAGAATAACTATTATCACGATAAACAAATATCAGATAAGTGACACACTCACACATGCAGAAAAAAAAAAACTTTTAACAAACGCTGAAGTGAATTTTAAGCAAAATGAAACTTATATAGTGAAATGAGACAAACAATATAACAAAGCAACTAAATTCCCCACCAATAAGAATAAAGTGAAAAAATACACACAAACACAGAGAAAGGAACAATACAAAACAGAATAGTTACACGGGAAAAAAAACGTACTAGATGTTGTTTTGACAAGTTCAAACGCTCCCACACACACACAAATACACTCCCGAAAATCTTAGATGTTACAAAACAAATATTCTCACACTCTTTAAAACCTATCACAGACACACACAAAAAAAACACACACACAAACACAGATAACAATTTTTATCTATTTAAAAGGAAACAACAAAATTCCTTTTCAACGCGACTGTAAATACTGCTTTTGTGAGCCCATAATATAAAAAAAAAACTAAAAACAATACAAAAGAAACGCATGTAGCTTATCACTCTCTGACATGCCCCAGAATGAAACAAAACTTAAAACAAGGTATACAATAAATGCAGTTACTAAAAGTAAAACCAGAAAATGGAAGAAAAACGTATATATTTGAACCTTTCGTAGTATTTGAGAAGAAAACGATCAACTAAGTGCACACACACACAAACAAATAAAATTTAAAAAAGGAACAAACAAATGAAACAAGTGAATATAATGAAAAAAAAAAAGTTGTATCTCCTACGATTACCTAAACAAACAAACAAACAAAACACTGTTGTAGTGCTGCTAACCAAAGTGTCAACAAACAAATAGAAAAAAAAGCGAATTTTCACAACCAATACACACAGACATAGGAACAGCAGAATGAATGTTCGATCAACAGAGTAAACGGAAAGTTCGGACTATCCACAGCGGACCAGAAAATTGAGCCAACTCTAGGAAGTAGTACTAGCTTACGACGATACTTGCATTGCATATACGTACACACACGCAAAAACACACACACACACACACACTTGAAAGAACTGAGAATGATTCGGCGCAGCAGCGGCGGAAATTGATGGTATTTCATCACGCGTTATTTATCTACGAACATTTCGGAATCGGTTTTTTTTTTGGTTTGTTTCCTGTGCCTAAAACGTTGGCCAGACTGAGCAGTTATAACATGTTGTAACTCTGTAGTCTGAACGTGGTATTATAAGCGAGTGATGATGTACTAGAGGGAAACTAGATTTGGTCTCTATGGTACAATTGGTGGCAAATACTAGTGGTGAGTGTGACTATTGTCGGCAACCTCTTTGTCTCTTTCCATTTGAACTGCGTGTTAACCAGCTGTTCTATTGTCGGCAACTCGAAATCAGCCGCATTTTGTAGTGCGTATATTTTATTTAAAGAAAAATCTGGCACAACAGGTTTGCGCAGTCGTAAAAATGTAATCAGATTGAAGCTGAAAGACTAAGAAATCGTTTGAAAACATTCAGCGAAGTGTTTTGATGGGAAAATACAGTGAAATTAACGTTTTAATTTTGGTTGCCGAAGCCGACATTTACCCTAATCAATAGCGTTGGGATATTAATTTTGATTCCAAAAACTAGTTGAATAAGAAAATCACACGAAAAGTAAAGGTACTCGAGTTTCTATTCGAATACAATACTCCTGAATTTGATCTAGTAAGGATCAGAAGTCCTCTGAATATTTGTTCATTTGGCTTAACAAAATCCGATAATTATACTCCTTTAAATACAATCTAGGTAAGTTAAGGTAATTTCTGGAAGAGTCAAAAAATGGCAGTCATGATGGTTGATACGCCTCCTATCATTTCAAATTTTCTAGACCACAAACCTCGGATACTGTTGAGTATATTTTTCCCAGAATTACTTTACTTTTATAAACAAATTTGTGTCAGACGTAATTTCGATCAGAAGTGACGTTTAAGTTTTACAATTTATTGCAAAATGTCAAATACGCCATTTTGAAAACAAATTACGAGATCGAAAATGACCGAATTTTTGCAAAAATTTGAATGATTACCCATAACCAGCGAATCCAAACACATAAAGCAACCAACGATACAGACTAAACGGTTGCTACGACTACCATGACAAACTCACTCTGCAACATAGCTCGATCCGAGTAGTAGAAGGATAATGATATAATGCTTGCCTGCTTTGTTCCATTATACACGGATGAGGACATAGCTTGATATGAATCGAGAAAAGACATAACAAAAAAATTCCCATTAACACACGTGTATCATGTTCGGCTTTACTTCGTGAAGCAGCTTGCCAACAATTTGCTCGTTTCCTTCTACCGCCCCGAGTGAGTTGTGTCGCGCGGGCTGCTTGTCATGAAAAAGAAGGAAGAAGATTTTATCATTATTGCTTTGCACTTCTGACATACCGTTATTATTCGGTTCGTTGATCGCTTTTCATTTTGTCATTTGGAGATACTTTTGATTCCTTGCCCATAACACATAATAATTCGAAATTTCATGCAAATTGGAGAAGGTCGAGTCTTAAATTTTAATTTTTTGTATCCTATTTGGCCTGAAACTGGTCAAGTGCGACGAAAAGGGCGGACACACTTATAAAAGTGCGCTTTTACGTTAAATCGTTTCGGTGTCTTCGTCGTCCTTGAGTCATAATGAAAAAGTGCAGAGAAGACGACATACAAGCGCAATTTTATTAGCAATTCCGCACTTTTAAGCAGGGCTATGCATTTTCGAAACAAAGAAAAGAAAATGAACTCTCCGCATAATCGCTTCATTTCGAGCAATATCATTTGCGTGTAAGTCATTGTGTTTCTTGTTATCGAGTCACGATGAGCATCCCTCTTTTCAAACATGACTTGACTATCGCTTGTTTTGTTCGTCAAGTGCTTCAGTTCATTTCATTTGAAGCAAAGACTTGTTTCAATTGACGCAATGAGTGGCTCGAAAACTGCTTCCTTCGTTTTTTTTTCCATTTTCACTTCAATTCGGGCTCATTCGACTTGTCACCCATCGCGTCGCCAAGTATCAAAAGATAGTATCCGCACAATATCGGTTGCCGATAGGGATGGCATCCGGATTATCACCTCTATTCCCGTTTTCGTACGAATCGTTCGTTCGTACGAACAACTCGATTCGAACGAGTTCGAAAACGGCATTCTGGTTTTCGTACGAACCCGTTCGAACGCAAGCTTTTTCGAAAACAAACAGTGTTAGTGGAACCAGATGCACTTTGACATTTCTTAACAATTCGAAGCATAGACCGCGCACGAAATTGACATTATTCGGTCAAGTGGACTGTCAAACGATGTCAACAAAACAATAACATTGTTGAAATATTTTGATTGAAAATTTGAAAATCTCACTGATTTGAAAAGATAACTTCCTGATGTCTTTTGAAAAGTTGTTAAGCAGAAAGTTGGCCACCTTTAAGGACGATTCAGTTTCTGGTAGGATACAAGTCTGATCCTGTGGATGATCCGGAATATCCGTAAAAGTGGTCAATTCATGAAACTGATCCTAGAGCTCCGCGGTTTTTTCAAAACCACTCATATACGTCTTATCAGAATGAATTCGGAGTTGTGACTGGAATATGGACCCTGCGGACCACGAGATGGTTCACCGGAAGATCCGGAACAACAGAAAAGTGGTCAATTCATGAAACTGATCCTAGAGCTCCGTGGATTTTTCAAACTACTTATAGACGTCTTATCAGAATGTATTCGGAGTTGTGACCTTAATTTGGACTCTGGGGACTGCATGATGGTCCACCGGAAGATCCGGAACATCCGTAAAAGTGGTCAATTCATTAAACTGATCCTAGAGCTCTACGGATTTTTCGGAACCACTCATAAACGTCTCGTCGGAATGTATTCGGAGTTGCGTTCTGAAATAAGAATATGGAGACTACAGAATGGTCCACCGGAAGATCCGGAACATCCCTAAAAGTGCTCAATTCATGAAATTGATCCTTGAGCTCCACGATTTTTTAGAATGCACTCATAGACATCTTATCACAATAAAATCGGAGTTTTGACCAGACAGTTTATACTGGGGACCACGGGATGGTCCATTAAAAGATCCGGAAGATCATCAAAAATTCCGATAAAAGTGTCTAGAAGTTATTAATTACTTAAATACCACCTAGAAATCATCCATGATAATAAATTAAAAAAAGTGTCTATGAGCAGTTCTTAAAAACCATAGAGTGCTTAGATTAGTTTTCTTGACCTATCCACTTTAATGGATGTTCCGGATATTCCGAAGGACCATCCAATGGACCCTGGGGTCCATTTTCCAGTCACAACTCCGAGTTCATTCTGATGAGTTGTCTATTATTTTCCAGAGGAGCGTTCATGGTCTCCAGGGTCTGTTTTCCAATCATAACTCAGAATTCATAATTATAAGACGTCTATAAGAGTTTACGAAAAAAACGGAGTTTTTGGATCAGTTCCATCGATTGAGCCTTTTTACGGATGTTTCGTGGAGCTCTAGGATCAGTTTCATGAATTGACCACTTTTACGGATGTTCCGGATATTATAATGGATCATTCCGTAGTCCCCAGGGTCAATTTTTTGGTCATGACTCCGAACTCATTCTGATAAGACGTCTATGAGTGGTTTCAAAAAATTCGCGGAGCTCTAGGATCAGTTTCATGAATTGACCACTTTTACGGATGTTCCGGATCTTCCGATGAACCATCCCGTGGTCCCCAGGGCCCATATTCCAGTCAGGGTTACTTCCACTCACTTGCTATAAAAAAATGTTTTTCGGAATTATGAAATCATGAAATAGTATAATGCTAATTAGTACTTGTAAGTTACAAGAATAGGTCGTAAAGTATATGTTTGACACATAAAATCTGTCAATATTGCTTTCAGTGCGTCACAATCAGCGATTTTACGACTCGTGAGCGCTCACTCTGAGTGAACGCTCACGAATCATAAGATCGCTGATTGTGAAGCTCTGAAAGCGAAATTGACAGGTTTTATGAGTCAAACACACACTTTACACCCTCTCCTTGTTACTTACTAGTACAACATATCATTATAACATCTAATAATTGCATAATTCCGAAAAATACTTTTTTATAGCAGGTGAGTGGAAGCAACCCTGATTCCAGTCACAACTTCGAATTAATTCTGATAAGACGTTTATGAGTGGTTAAAAAAAACCACGGAGCTCTAGGATCAGTTTCATGAATTGACCACTTTTATGGATATTCCGGATCTTCTGGTGAACAATCCCGTGGTCCGCAGAGTCCATATTCCAGTCACAACTCCGAATTAATTCTGATAAGACGTCTATGAGTGGTTTCAAAAAATCCGCGGAGCTCTAGGATCAGTTTCGTGAATTGACCACATTTACGGATGTTCCGGATCTTCCGGTTAACTATCCCGTGGTCCCCAGGGCCCATATTCCGGTCACAACTCCAAATTCATTCTAATAAGACGTTTATGAGTGGTTTCGAAAAATCCGCGGAGCTCTAGGATCAGTTTCATGATTTGGACACTTTTACGGATATTCCGGATCATCCACAGGATCAGACTGGTGTCCTACCGGAAACTGAATCGTCCCTAAAGGTGGCCAACGTTCTGCTTAACAACTTCTCAGAAGACATCAGGAAGTTATCTCTTCAAATTGCCGTACAAACAGTGTTTGGTCCCAATTAGCTCTAATCCCATATGCTACGTGTATTCGTTAATGCCGGATCGACCGTACTATAGGAATCCAGTGGATTCAGTACTATAGCAATCCGGCAAGAACGAATCCGCACCATAGAAATCTTGACTGTATATGGCTATGGCAATGTTTTGGAGTCATAATTAAATACATAAATATTTGTTATGTAAGATGTTACAGAAATGCCTTTGTCCAAAATTTTCTAGTTGTTTCGATCCTTTTTTTAATCTAAAATCTATATTTTTATTGCATGATTTTTCAATCAATTTCCATATGAGATCTTTAACTTCAC